TGCATGTGTGACCATTTCAATTAACATGCGTTGAAATAAGATTTTATTGCAAGTTGCTGCAATTTTGTTGCTCGTATTACTTTACCTTTAGCAAATTTTGAGTATTTTAGTATTGCGCGCGGAAAAATGCACCACTTTCGGCTCAAAAGTGGTGCATTTTTCCACGCGTAATACTAAAATACTCAAAATTTGCTAATTTCACAGAGCTATATTTTCCGTACTTTACAACATTTGGCAACCAAATTTGGCAATTTTACTAATTTAAGAATGTTCGTTTAAAGTGCCTATATCAGGGTTTTGGAGTTTGCATATCTCGAAAGTTTAGGGTATTTTAAGACACTTTGCAATATATTTTGTTATTGAAAAATTTTATCTTGATGGATTTACTAGCTCTTAAAGTTACCGGACATGACGTCAAAAGGAGAATTGCAAATCAGTTTTCCTTTGTATCATTGCAACAAAATTCTCCTTTTGACGTCATGTCCGGTAACTTTAAGAGCTAATAAATCCATCAAGATGAAATTTTTCAATAACAAAAATATATTGCAAAGTGTCTTAAAATACCCTAAACTTTCGAGATATGCAAACTCCAAAACCCTGATATAGGCACTTTAAGCTATAATGATAGATTTTGTTCTTCTTGTCTGGATCAAAATTTAGTCTATAATCCATTATAAGTATTGGGTAAGTCTGTTGGTCGCATGCAATGGTTTCAATGGTTTGTGCATGCAGTGCAAGTGAAATAGTCAACACCACTCACTCGTGAACGAAGTTTAAATTTCTCTGCTTGCGTCTGTCTAAGATGTTTCAACTGTTTTCTAACCATGGACAGTTTACAGTTCATGATCCAAGATATAGCGATCACCCCGGCCGCCCATTGACGCTGACGATGGATTAGGTACGCGGCTCTGTCGCAGAAACGTCGCCAAGTAGACTGTGGAATGAGAAGAAAATACATGGTTATAAACGTTCAAAATAAACACGTTTACAATGTGATGTACATAAGCGCAGTGGCACAGCGGTTAGTGCATAAAGCCGGTTACAGAGAGCAATGACGATGACAAACTTCTTCAGAGATCTTGTCTGGATCGATAGGAGTTTACTTCTCTGAAGTTTTGAAATACACAGATGTGCAGAAATATACGAACTAAAACAGCAGGTTAAATTTTAATCCAGGGTTAGCATTAGTCCACCTTCGAACAACCGGTCCCAGAACTGCCCACTGAAATTCTTACAACAATCTACTGTAATATAAAGTCATTTCTTTACCTGTATTTTAATAGCAGCCATTATTTCACCATCGGGCCCAAGATAACGACGACCCTATATATGTATAAAATAGTTTGTGACAAATCAAATATAATTTGGGAGTCGTTTAGTGATTGATCGATCAAATGAACAATAACATATTGAACTATTCTAAATCCTTACCGGCGTTCTGATTGTCTTCTCGACATCTTCGGAGTTCAGAACACACGTCAAGAAATGCTGGAAAATATGAGTAAATTTAATTCATACATGTAAATCCTGGTCCAAAACGTTACACTTGCTTGTGCTAATGCTCGTGTCCTAGCGAGGACCAAGATTAACCGTTTAAGTGGCAATGCACCCTGATGCGCCCCACTTTAATATTTTACTCTGTCTAACGCCAGATGATTTTACTCGTCAAGTAGAGAGTGCTGCCACTCAATGGGTTAATAGACAATCCAGTCGATAGCTACGTTAATTACCACAAGTCTGGTGAAATTCATCAGCGATGCTGTTAAAACACTACTCTGTGACATTTTTTACCATTTAACTGCACTAATTTACTCGTTGTGCCAGTCCCCTTCGCGCCCCAAAGCAATGTTGGAGATATTACAATTGTTTTAGCCCTATTCCGTGAATGCAATCAAGATTGAATGGTGGGAGTAAGAGAGAGGAGTTTTCTAAATTTGCGACAATATTACGAATGTTCGGCAAATGGTTGGCAATGTCGCGGATGTTTTGTCCAGGATTGTAGGCAGGGCCTCCGAGAAGTTGCCAGGGGCAAAATGCCCCCCCCCCCCCCCCCCCCTCCATCTCAACTCGGAGGTCCTGATTGTAGGTACAGGCGGCAACTTGTGTACACTGTCTTTTTTCTTACTTCTAACTGTGGCCTCTCCTCCAGTTCAAATACCAATGCGAGGTCCGCTAGTCTAAATATCAATAAAAAGAATGCTTCTGATTCTATCAAGTCACACATTAATTTACAAATTCATGCGAGAAAAATATTACGAAATACATAATTTATACATAAGCATACACTACGCAAATAATTCTAATAACGCTATTCATGGATATTATTAGTATAGTGCTGTACCTGTCTCCATCAATGATTGCTAGTGGCACGGAATAGTTTCGCATTATCTTTTCTAACTTCAGAATCAGAGTCAAAATGCTAGAGAACAATGTTTGCAATTAGAGAGAATTCTTGTAACGACTGCAGGTTTAATATGGTATGGGTTGAAGCGTGTTGTAGATGAAAATTATCGAGTGGAAATTTATATACATTTATCAGATCTAACCAGGAACAACTGCGAAAAATGCAACTTTAGGTCCCTGGCAGGAATCGAACCTGCGGCCCTGTGATTCCGGTGCAGTGCTCTAACCAACTGAACTACAGAGTCCAGTTGTCGAGCTCTAACCAACTGAGCTACAGAGTCCAGTTGTTGAGCTCTAACCAACTGAGCTACAGAGTCCAGTTGTTGAGCTCTAACCAACTGAACTACAGAGTCCAGTTGTCAAGCTCTAACCAACTGAACTACAGAGTCCAGTTGTTGAGCTCTAACCAACTGAGCTACAGAGTCCAGTTGTCGAGCTCTAACC